TTTGATGAAATCCGAGAGCTCTCTGATCCTCCATAGACAGCAAGGATACTATCACGATCAGCGCACAGAAGCGTAGCAAGGACATCGTTAAAATAATCCATGTGACATCAGGGGTTCAACCGTAATTTTACGATGCTACGAGATTACTTTTTGTTAGGGATGTAACAATTAACCGCGAGCCGGTTGAAAATCGATTTCAATATGTGACGATTCAAATCTGTTGAGATGCTAAACAAATCGCGATTCAATTAGGGGTTGGAGTTTATATGAATGTATGTCTGAGGGGATCTTACTGTCTTTCGATGGTATTTTTTCTTTTCCTCTTGCCTCTGTATAATGCATATCAGGGCTCCAGACTCATTCTTCCCACTGGTCGTGCTCTTTTGCAACTAACTTTCTCAGCTGGTCGTACGAGCACATGATTTGGTCTCAATATATTCTTTTTTTTGCGCTACAACATGGGATTATTCAATGCATGCTGATGAACTTTTATCATGGTTTATAGTTATATGGAAACGAAAGTTGTTAACATTCAACCCGTTCTTTATCATCAGTAGTATTATTTGTAATTTGAATTTTGTGAATGGGTTTCTCTTTTGCTTCGGATGAAAGCTTCGGATGCTTTCACGCAATATATTATTTTTTTTGCGCTACAACATGGGATTATTCAATGCATGCTGATGAACTTTTATCATGGTTTATAGTTATATGGAAACGAAAGTTGTTAACATTCAACCCGTTCTTTATCATCAGTAGTATTATTTGTAATTTGAATTTTGTGAATGGGAGTTTCTCTTTTGCTTCAGATGCTTTCACTTTCGAATTTGCGATCTTGTTGCATTCGTATGATTTGTAAACTTCGAACAATTTACAAGTGCTAAATTAGTATATTATTGTAGTGTTATATTTCAATTTCACAAAGAAACGTGCGATCTTGTTGCATTCGTATGATTTGTAAATTCGTAATCACATTTACGATTGTTCGTAAATTCGAACAATTTACAAGTGCTATATTAGTATATTATTATAGTGTTATATTTCAATTTCACAAAGAAACGTACAGTATTTTGTCCAAGCAATAATAAAAGGACACATTTAATTTATCATTTGTCTTAAATCTAATTTTGTAAAAAAAAAAATAAAAAAAAATCGTTAATCGAATCAAATCGTGAGTTGAGTGAATCGTTACATCCCTACTTTTTGTGCGTTGATCGTGATAGTATCCTTGCTGTCTATGGAGGATTAGAGAGCTCTCAGATTTCATCAAAAATATATTAATTTGTGTTCCGAAGATGAACGAAGGTCTTACGGGTTTTGAACGACATGAGGGTGAGTAATTAATGGCAGAATTTTTGGGTGAACTAACCCTTTAACAGTATCATGTGAGTGTATGCTCACTCCTCGCACCCAATAGGCTTTCACTGCGTGATGTCATCTCGGGAAAGCCCCAGTCATCTGGTTACCTGGCCATCCGAGCTTAATGACCTGATGGGTTTTTCTTGAATTGGTCACCTACATGACAGACAATATAAATGGCCTGGTTTAGCACAATACATTTTACACTTTGAACACCACTCTTCTCTTGTTCTGTGATAACCTGTGATAATATGAGGTAATACAGTTTACACTTTGAACACCACCCTACATGAAATCCTCACAATATGAGGTAATTTTATGGAATGTCTATATTGTATGTAAATATAGAGTAATAATATAAAAGCCTTGGATGACTTCTGGACCCAATCAGGGCCCAAAGACGCCTACGTCCTAAAATAAAAAGTGTCATCCCCCCCACACGGACATTGAGGTCATAGATTAGCTGTGTCATGAAGCTTAATTAAGAGCCTCCAGTTGCTGCCCTTCAGGCTTTGACTGTAATCCAATTAAATGCTATAGCAGTCATGAGGACAGGATAAATGAATCCAACTGCAGAGCTGTCCACTGTCTCAACTTCAAATTCTGAGCCACGGGGCAATTTCCATTGATAACTTTTCACTCGATAACATCTTAATCCATTACATATCTGCAGAAAGGATACTGTCAACAAGCTGTATCTTTTATGATTTATTCAAATGTTGGATGACAGGCCATTTAAGATCCAGAGCTTTACAATCATGTGATTTGTGAATCTCATAGCTTACAGTATAGTCTGCAATATCAGTTCAAGTCTCCCAAACCCAGACTGGCCTTTAAACGCTCCACTTTAAAGAAATATTATTTCAGTGGAATATGATTTGTTATTTTAATAAAGCATTTACATTATTTGATATGCACATTAAGGCCTTTTAATTAAAGTTAATAAAAATATTTTAAAGGCCTTAATTTACAGATCAAATAATAAAAATTCTTATTGAATAATTAAAGCCTTTCAAATCCCTATTTTCAGGGAATATTATTATTTATTATTACTTATTATTTAATCTGGAAAGTTATTTTTCATATTTATAAGTTAAATTTATATTTATAAAATCACAATACAGATTGTCAAAGCAGCTTTACAGTAACAGTATTAAATAGGAAAATAGTGTGTCAATAATGCAAAATGACAATAGTAAACACTCAATTTTCAGTTAAAGGCAGTTCATCATTGAATTCAGTGATGTCATCATCCAGCTCAGTTCAGTTTAAATAGTATCTGTGCAATCAAGTCGACGATATCGCTGGAAATTAAGTGTCCCCAACTAAGCAAGCCAGAGGCGACAGCGGCAAGGAACCAGGAAGCTGATCAGTTCTCTCCTGTATCAGTAGCCAGTGAGCTCGCTGCTCAATATTCAAATACCTGGCTTTTTTGTTTACTGTAGCAGTTGGCAGCGCACTTCAGAAACCCTTCACCTTCCCCAGCTCCACCTGTATAGATCTGCTACAGGGTAATTTATGTATGCTATATGGGGGTTATTCATATGTTATATGTGCAGCAGCAGTATTTCTTACATGCTTACAGCAGCATGTTGTGGATGTATTGGCAGTAGCAAGTCTCGGTTCTTGCTCTGCCGCAGCAGCAGCGTAGCAGATCTATTCCGCCAAGACCAAATACATTAACATTGTCACATTACCATGCCAATCCCTCAGAGAGTTGTCATGACAGAAAGCATTTTCACATTAATTATTCAGTAAGATTTGGATATTATTTGATCTTTGTGGTCTACTATAAATTATACGTTTGAGGTGGGACTGTTTGTTTGAGCAGATTAATATCCGGTAGTAATTATTAAGTCCCAATGAGTAAGACTTCCTGAATCAACATTCTCATGCTTATCAATTTTTATTTTTATTGCCTGCAGATTTTGGTGGCTTGTAGCCTGAAACAACATTCATATCAGCCAATAGATGCCTTCTGGTTGTAGGGGTAGGTTAGAAATTAGACCGGTCCTCCTTGAGGAAGCCACACTAATTTTTATTTATAATTTCAGGTTTGTGACTGGCTTTACCCATTGATGGCCTCTGACTCCCCAGTCCTGCTGTGCAACACGGGAGTCTACATGTTCCCTGACATGATGGCTCCCACCCCGGGCTCGTATGTTGGGGTGGTCCTTTCTTCCGAGCTTCCCCAGAAGGAACGCGAACTCTTCCAGAGTGTTCTTTCTCAGCTGACTGACCTGCGTGTCCAGGTGAGCTGTCCCTGTGTCCCCTCGGGTCCCACCTCAGAAACACAGGGGTCAGCTGTGGCTTCAGAGCAGGTGTGGTGGCTCAACCTCGTCTCAAACTTTGCGTGTCACTTACTCAATCTCTGCAGATTTGAAAACAATTCCAGAATCTTACTTGTTGCTGCCCCTTTTGGTGTTTTTTGAGTTTTTCTTTATTCTTTATCACAACAGACTAGAATCAAGAAATTTACACTGTGGTAAAATCTTTATGTTCTTTAGATGCATGATGTTCACTGTTTGGAATCTGATTTTTGCATGTTGCTCATATGCATTGGGCACATATCCCTGCATCTGCCTGTCTCATTAACCCCTTTTCTTTACAGATTTCAGGTGTATTTGAGAGTTTAAAAGATTTATTTACGGTATTAATGCATTGTAAAATCACCGAATGACAAGTGCATTTGGGTTGTGAATATTTATGCTGTGAACATTAAGGAATACCAACGCAACAGGGTGATTTTTAGACGTCATTAAATATTTTATACAGAAGAAACTCTAATGTCCTTGAAACCAGAGCCGATCCTTCCTATACGCAAAGTACGCAAGCTGCGTAGGGCCCCCGAATCACCAGGGGCCCCCCTTGCTCTCAAAGATGATTAATTTTAGTTTTGTTTTTTTGAATTTGGCCAGCGGTTATGAAAACCACTTATGTAATTTATTTTAATGTGGTGCGCTGTCGCCCTTTCTACGTAAAAATCTGTCAAATCATGTAACGTGAATTTCATATAGTGTCTTACTCGAGACAAAAAAAACGAGTTGAAAGCGTACCGAGCCGCAGAAGAGACACCATTTCTCAAGTGGACAAAGGCGTTTCATTCATTCATCACTCGTCATTCATAACCACCCCCAAACCCCACCCCCCACCCTACCGACACAGTTTTGCGTAGGGCCCCCAGAAGTCTAGGATCGGCTCTGCTTGAAACCAATGGAAACTTAGACATTTCCAAATGACATTAGAGTGCTAGACATTTTAAACCTGATGTACCCTTAAAATGTGCCCTTATATTAGAGAAAGACTCCAAGCACATTAATGGTCAGTAGCACTCTCTGCCAATAATCAAAAATGGTAAACAAACAAACAAAAAAAACGAATTAAATGTTTTTTTTAAATAAATAAATAAAATAGCTTGTCTGAAATATATAAATTATGTCATATTCAAGTATAAAATACGTTATTTAAATACTTATTTTTATAAATTAATAGTTTTTCTATAATATTAATTATCATTGATATTATTTTAAATTTGACTTTACTTAAATTAATGTTTTAATAAAAATGAACTGTCCCCGTTTTAATGCAAGTAGAAAACTTTTATGAAGTACACTCACTCAGGGACTTTAGTAAGATTTTATCTGAAAAGATTTTAGATTTTTAAAATTGATATTGTTAATGTTAATCTAACAAATTTTGTATAATTTAATCTGCTGTAGTTTTTGTTTATTTGGTTTTATTTTGTGTTTGTAAATCTTGTATTATTCCAACTCCGTTTTTGTCATATAGATAAACAACTAACAAACCAATAATAATAATAATAATAATTTGTCCCATTGTGACATAATTATGTAAATACCATACCATGTAAAAAAAAAAGCATACCAATTTCACTTTTAAGTTTTTTTAATGTGCTGGATTTAACTACTGTATTTTTTTGATCATTTAATGCACTTGACAGTTCATGTGGTCCTTACAATGCTTCTATGCTTTCTGCTGCTTGCACTGCCTCTAAATGCTGATATTCCTAAGTGTTTCACACATTTGGCTTTGGGTATAGTGAAATAGTGAGCTGACTTGGCCTGTGCTTTTGAGTTGGCACACTCCCCTGCGCTTCCATGGACTGAGAGCATACAGGAGAAGGAGAATTAATTAGCTGTAATGATTCCAAGTGTAACAGTAGAGAACCCGCCACATTCTTCTTCTCTTTTTATTCAGTTGCATTATAAGAAGTCATAATCCTAGTCTAGTGGTTATGTGAGTCAGAAAAAACATTGTTCATGCTTTTAGAAATTATTTCACAGAGCAGCTGCTGCTGAGTTTGGAACCAAGTGCCGCAGTTCCCTGTAAAGGAGGGGGCGATGACAAACACCCCCATTGTTGTGGAAATAACAGGTTTTTGTAGCAGACCATGCTGACTCACTGGCTCAAGTGTTTAGAGACAACAAAGGATTTTTTAAATTTTTTTTTGGCAAATGGGGAAAAATCTGGAAGCATTCCCTCCTTGTCATAAACAATACTAACTAATTTCCATATAGTCATCCTAAAAGTCACCATTTGCTTTTAGTTATCGCTTGAGCCTGCTTCTGCGTTCTTTATGATGCTCTGTTTTAACTGTTGCCCGCTATCCTGTGTCCCCAAGGCATCAGATGGCGCAACCGATACCATTAACCTGGGTCAGAAGGTGCCGATGGGGCCTCCTGCAGCTGAAGCAGCACCCCCTGCTGCTGAGGAGGAGAATGTACTTCCTGAATGGAGCGAGAAGGTGGCTCAAGGGATCCTGACTGGTAAGAAGAGGGATCTGATTCCCTTAAATGAGGTTTAAATGTAAAGAAAGGTGTGAAACATATTCATATTACCATTCAAAAGTATGGGGTTGGTAAGATTTTTATGTTGTTTTAAGAAGTCTCTTATGCTCACCAAGGATGCATGTATTTCATTCAAAAATACGGGAAAAAGTAGCAATATAATGAAATATAATTAAAATGGAAAATAACTGTTTTGTATTTTATTATATTTTAAAATGTCATTTATTTCTGTGATGGCAAAGTTGAATTTTCACCATCCTTTACTCCAGTCTTCAGTGTCTCATGAAATCAGAAATCTTTCTAATATGCTGATTTGGTTCTCAAATGTTTCTTATTATATAGTGGTTATTACAATGTTGAAAACAGTTTTTGCTGCTTAATATTTTAGCTAGAAAACATACTTTTTTTTTTAAGGATTGAAGAATTGAAAGTTCAAAAGAACAGCATTTGTTTGAAATCGAAATCTTTTATAATATTAATATATTTACTGTCACTTTTTGTCAATTTAATGCATCCTTGCTTAAAAGTAGTATTTTTATTTTTTTTTAAATCCTACTGAGCTTAGGAATTTAGGAATTTAGGAATTATAAACCTAGTGTTTTAAAGGGATAGTTCATCCAAAAATGAAAATTCAGTCATTCATTACTCACCCTCATGTCGTTCCAAACCCATAAGACCTTCGTTCATCTTCAGGAACACAAATTAAGAATTTTTTATTTTTTATTTTTTTGCTGAAATCCGAGAGCTTTCTGACCCTCCACTGACAGAAACAGGACTTGCGTGTTCAAGGCCCAGAAACGTAGGACATCGTTAAAATAGTCCATGTGACATCAGTGGTTCAAACGTGTTATCGTGAACTACCCCTTTAAGCCTTTATAATAGCTGGTTACCTGTCCAACATTTTGGGTTGTACTAGAACCTCAACAGTTGTTTCCACCAAAATAGTGATGCTGTGATGCTCTCCTTACTGGATGAAATATATCAACAGGGGCTTCATGGCTGAGCTGGGGGTTGGTGAAGGGGGCTGAGTATACAGGGAAAGCCATACATAAAGGTGCATCCAAACTACGAGAGCACATCACACCAGAGGACAAACAAGCCCAAGTCAGCCCCACAGTTACCAAAAGCCTCCATGTGGCCAAACAGGCCACAGGAGGAGCAGTGAAGGTCAGCCAGTTCCTTGGTAAGGAAGTGTCTTTGTAAATTCCTAATTGTGTTGATAATATTCAACAAAGATGAGATGCACTTCATTTACTGTGTATGATTTGAGCCAAAAACATGTTGTGTACTGTTTCAGTGGATGGACTGTGCACAGTCGCTGCACATGTTGGCCGAGAGTTGGCACCCCATGTAAAGAAACATGGAGGGAAGCTTATCCCAGAGTCTCTGAAGAAAGACAAGGATGGACGCTCCAATATTGATGGTGCCATGGTGGTTGCAGCAAGTGGATTTCAAGGTGAAGTAAATCATTCCACTCAGAAATGATTATTTTCTTGGCTGTTTTAGTCACATTGATGACTACAATTACATTATTATCTTTTAGGCGTTATTGATCAGATGGTTAACGTGATTTATCAAGTTCTTTACACATACAAAATTTACCATGGAGCAAAAAAGCCATCATATTATTGACTAAATGTATAACATATACTAAATGGTGTCATGTAATATGTGCTATTAATCATTTAGAGACCGTTAAACTACCATTCAAATATTTGGGCTCAGTTAGAATTTTTTAATGATTTTGGGGAAAAAAAGTCTCTATCCTCATCAAGGCTGTATGCATAGTATGTGATTTAAAAATACAGTAAAACACTAATATTGTGAAATATTAATACAATTTAAAATAATTGTCATGTGACACTGAAGTCCTAAATTAATGGCTGCTGAACATTCAGCTTTGCATTACAGGAATAAATTGCATTTTAAAATATATTAAAAGAGAAAACGGTTATTATAAATTGTAAAAACATTTCAAATCAAATCAAATAAATTCAGCTTTGGTGACTGACCTCAAACTTTTGAACGAGAGTGTAAATCATCTTATACTGTACGACTGTACAATTCATTATAACGAAGGTTTAAGATTAAAAGCTCAAACCCTTCTGATAATTATCCAATATTTAAAAGGGGAAAATAACGGTGATTACTATAACTGTCATATAGCTCATAATATCATAATAATGTTTTTTTAATCATAATAATTTGCACAACCGTCCTATCCTTTCTAACTAAAAATATTGAGGAATTTCAATCCAACTTTTTCACATCACAACAAAAATGTTTTTATGGCATCTTTAGGATTAATTTTACAATTTTAATCAAGTTCAGATTTTTCTCTTGAGAAATGACTGAATCCATGCATGTATGTTTAACTGCTTTGCTCTGCTTCGAATATGTGACCCTGGACCACAAAACCAGTCTTAAGTCGCTGGGGTATATTTGTAGCAATAGCCAAAAATACATTGTATGGGTCAAAATGATTGATTTTTCTTTTATGCCAAAAATCATTAGGATGTTAAGTAAAGATCATGTTCCATGAAGATATTTTGTAAATTTCCTACTGTAAATATATTAAAACTTTTGATTTTTGATTAGTAATATGCATTGCTAAGAACTTCATTTGGACAACTTTAAAGGCGATTTTCTCAGTATTTTGATTTTTTTTTTGCACCCTCAGATTCCAGATTTTCAAATAGCTGTATCTCAGCCAAATATTGTCCTATCCTAACAAACCATACATCAATGGAAAGCTTATTTATTAGCTTTCAGATGATGTATAAATCTCAATTTCGAAAAATTGACTCTTATGACTGGTTTTGTGGTCCAGGGTCACATATTGTCCATCTCCTAAAGCTTATTCCATTGCCTCTTTCATCACCCCATCCTCTCCTTTACTCAATCTGGGTTATTTATAATCAAGGTATGGGGCGGAAGCGGGCCAGGCCACAGATCATGCTGTCAACTCGGCCATCAATGTGGGCGTCACTGCGTTCAATATCGACAACCTGGGGATCAAGGCAATGGTCAAGAAGACTGGCAAAGAGACTGCCCATGCCATCCTGGCAGACTATAAAGTCCAAGAGCCGAGCACTCAAGTTGAGAAACATAAAGACCAAAAGTAGAGTTTAGATTCAGACCTCTCGTTTCAGGTGTCCATTTTTAAGAGCAAACCAAATGACTGAAGAAGTAGGTGGATCCTTGTCCGGTTTTTCAATGAATGCTGTTATTTGATTATGTGACCAACACTGAATTCCAAAGACTTTCCTACAGTAAACAGTTAGTCGTGCTGTCATGTTTACTATTTTCACTGTGTCATGGGGGAAATGCTTATTGCACTTTTAAAATTCCCTTTACAAGCTGACTCACAGCCTGCCGGACAGTATTCCTGATCTTGCCTTACACTTCACCAGCAATTTACTCAACTAGACTTATCACCAATGATTTTACTCATATTAAATCTTCAATAGTTTTGCATGGCTTGTGTCTTTCAAATGGACCCTTAAAACAAAGTACAAGCCAAAGGTGGACTTTACGGATTTCCCACAGAGCCTTAACAAATAGAATCTTCTTGTATTTAAAAATAGTTATATATCTAAAGCTTCAATATACATATATTCTAAGAATGCTTTATGATAGCTGTTTTATACAGTATACAGAACTGTTTGTTCTTGGTACTTCAGGATTTTTTTGTTTTAAAATATAAAAAAATACTTTAACCCCTGCTAGGAACAGACATGGCAATTTCTTGCAGATGATGGGTTCTAGGTTTTATTGTGTATAAGTGCATTAAAAATATAATTGCACTTGGAGTTGGAATAAGATACAGAGGTCAGATATCAGAAATCAGTTTATTCAGGAGGCAGAAAAATCTAACTTTTTTGGAAATGTTTAAAATGATAGTATGTTAAAGTTTAAATGTGTATTTTATCATTTTAATATTATATTATAATAATATTTTAAATGATCAAGGCTTATATTTAATGTTAACTGCATTAAACTGTAAAATGCCATATATTTGAAGTCCTCCCACAGTAGTTTTATTTCCCCATGAAAACTGTTGACAATGACTGCACTTTTTCTTTAATTTTGACTACTGACCATGTTTCTATAGATTATATATAAATATAAACTTGAACTTCCATAACATTTCACTGTAAACATTAACAGAGTTGTTAATTCTTTGTGTCTGTTTTGATGGAATATATGTCTAATTTGAATGTATGGACAGCATAAATAAGCATTAAGTTTAACCACAAGTCAGTAGGTTTGCTCAGTGACAAATAATATAATAGCCTATGGTTATCTGACTTAATAAATGAAACATTTAAAACATATTGTTTTGTGTGTACTCTAATTTACACACCGTTTGATGTTTTAAAATGTATTCCATTCCATTACTTTCCATTCCTTTACTAGCCAAGGCACTAAAGATGAGGTCAAACGAGGTTATTCAAAGTGCCACGAATCAGCAGCATTTAACTTCATTTCACTACATAATATATGAACAATATATATATATATATTTAGTATAAATACGTACTCAGTTGGCCTTCCTGTGAAAATCGAACTGAATAATAGTTTTGAATGATAGTCTACTTTTTTCCTATGCATTGAAGTTTAAGTGTATGCTGCCATCTAGTGTCGTACTTTGTAATAAACTCACTGGAAGAAAATTTGCAACTACAGGTGCATCTCAATAAATTAGAATGTCGTGGAAAAGTGCTGCCCACACTGCCAAAAGCACCAAAAGTTCGTTAAATGACCATGGTGTTGGTGTGCTTGACTGGCCAGCAACTCACCAGACCTGAACCCCATAGAGAATCTATGGGGTATTGTCAAGAGGAAAATGAGAAACAAGAGACCAAAAAAATGCAGATGAGCTGAAGGCCACTGTCAAAGAAACCTGGGCTTCAATACCACCTCAGCAGGGCCACAAACTGATCACCTCCATGCCACGCTGAATTGAGGCAGTAATTAAAGCAAAAAGACCCCCTACCAAGTATTGAGTACATGTACAGTAAATGAACATACTTTCCAGAGGGCCAACAATTCACTAAAAATGTTTTTTTATTGGTCTTATGAAGTATTCTAATTTGTTGAGATAGTGAATTGGTGGGTTTTTGTTAAATGTGAGCCAAAATCATCACAATTAAAAGAACCAAAGACTTAAACTACTTCAGTCTGTGTGCATTGAGTTTATTTAATACACGAGTTTCACAATTTGAGTTGAATTACTGAAATAAATGAACTTTTCCACGACATTCTAATTTATTGAGATGCACCTGTACATAAACTGTTCTGGTTATGGGTTGGAAATGAAGTTGTGTAGGCCTACGTGTAGGCTAAATGAACTTTCTCTACCCATATTTACGTCTGCAGTAAAAGTGATGTGTAGGTTTTGACTTCACTTCTGTAGTTTGACATTTTAAATGTGGCGATTTAAACATCTCAAATCTTTATTTTATTTTTATTTTGTGAATAACAGTCATTAAAGGAGGAAAACTGGAATCAAGCAGTCCTAGTTTGAGGTGAATTAAAAAAAAAAATTTAAATATGCAAAAATGAACTGATAAAAATATAGGCTACCAATAGTAAGTTTTAGACTATTTGTACTAACAGTAAATATTTAAGATGTATAGTGTAATCTATCATTAAAAAATGTAACATAATCTGTAAGTTGTTTTATATGTATATAACGGTATTATATAATAATAAACATTTATAAAAAAATATCAAAACACTTCGCCTATATCCTTAGTACACTTATATCCAGAAATGTGTTTTGTATTACAAAATCATAGAAAATCCTGCATCTTTTGGCGTTTTGGTAAGGGTTTCCTAAGTGAATTTGAAAATCATAATTTGCTAATGAAAATAAAATAAAACTAAGCAAACAACTTATGCCAACCACGACCACAAGTCTCTTGATCATATTGTTGAACTATGAAAAACAGGCCTAACAGTTTGATATTTTAAATGTGGCGATTTAAACATCTCAAATCTTTATTTTATTTTTATTTTGTGAATAACAGTCATTAAAGGAGGAAAACTGGAATCAAGCAGTCCTAGTTTGAGGTGAATTAAAAAAAAAAAATTTAAATATGCAAAAATGAACTGATAAAAATATAGGCTACCAATAGTAAGTTTTAGACTAGTTGTACTAACAGTAAATATTTAAGATGTATAGTGTAATCTATCATTAAAAAATGTAACATAATCTGTAAGTTGTTTTATATGTATATAACGGTATTATATAATAATAAACATTTATAAAAAAATATCAAAACACTTCGCCTATATCCTTAGTACACTTATATCCAGAAATGTGTTTTGTATTACAAAATCATAGAAAATTAATAGCTTGTGAAGTGAAAAGCTGTGTGGTTGTAAGAAACAAATTTATCATTAAGATGTTTTAACTTGAAACCATCGCTTCTGGCCAAAATACAACTCCATAATCCATAATATTGCTTTCTTCAGCGAAAGTCCCTTCCCTGTTGTCCTCTCACATCAAAATTCACTGATATATTCTCTGATGAGAGCTGTAGAAAGCCTGATCTGTGCTCAATTCTCTCCTGATTTAGGTGAGGCAACTTTTTCACTGAAGAAAGCAATATTGTGGATAGAGGACTCATATTTTAGCTGTAAGCAATGGTTTGAAGTTAAAAATGTCTTGGTGATTTGCTTTTTGTTTTTTTATTACACACACAACTTGTCTCTACAAGATGTTAACTGATGGCTTGTAGTTATGTTGATGACTACAAATCATATGTGGATTATTGTGATGCTTTTATCAGCTATTTGAACTCTCATTCTGACGGCACCTATTCACTGCAAATGATTCATTAGTGAGCAAGTGATGTAATGCTAAATTTCTCCAAATCTGTTTTCTTGGACATCTTGGTTGGCCTGAGTGTGAGTACATTTTCAGAAAATAAGCACATAATATCACATAGTAAGCACTTAATAGCACATAATAACACATAATATATGTAGTGTGTACATATCTGAGAATCTACTATGTGGAAAGTCATTGCATTAGTCATGCTTCATATCTGGGGTCTCTGACACCCAAACAGAGCATGCGGTTTGTTGTACTGAACAAGGATCAAGCTTGCATTGTCTGTGAACGGATATCAGAGAGCCCTGTGATTTAAACCAGTAGTCATTTTAAAATGCTCATTAATATTTAACAGCTTCTGCATCTCTATACCACTCCCTTCCTCTCAGTGCTGACCAATAAATCAAACCCGAGAACTGAAATCATTACATCTAAGTTTGTCCTTGAATTATGTGTTAAATGACTCTGATTTGATTTTGAAATTGTAGCAGCAACATCTCAGTGATGCCTTTTTATGTAGGACACCCGTTCATTCATTCATTAATTCTCAGTGCTGTCAGGGGTAGAATGAATGTAAATGAGTGAGATGGAGGTGGTTTCAGTCTCTGCCGTGCACTTAACCTTGACTGTGTGACCTCTCCGTCATTATGGACTATTATAAGGAGCTTTTATGCCCATTGACTGTCTTAAACTCACATGTGGGCAAATTTATGGATTTTCTTCTAAGTTCTCATATGATAATAAACATGGAAAGTCATTTTTAGAGTGCAAGATGTTCTCTGAAATTGTAGGAAAGCCTCATTAAATTAATAGTTCACCAAACAATTTTTTTTTTTATCTTCTACCCTTCATGTTGTTCCAAACCCATATTACTTTCTTTCTTCTGCGGAACTTGAAAATGGGAACTTAACAGTGAAATTGTGAACTCTTTGTTTTTAGTCAAAGAGTGTTATTAAAATGTTTGAACCAGTTCACAAAACCAGACTTAATGATTCATTTATCGTAAATGAGTCATTCATACTTTTAAAAAAAATGGTTAAAAAAAAGATGAATCAATGAATCACTCAGACACATTTTATGAACGTTTTATGAAAAACTATTAGTGAGAACCGAATCAGTCAAATTCATAAATTTTTTCGAACCAATTTACAAGTTCCAAGTTTACAACTCAGAGACACTCACTGGTTATTTCTCATATTATTTTGTATCACAGGGGAGAGTTATGTATGTGGATCAATTGAGCCTTACAAGGATCTGGAATACACTAAGAACGTCAACCCCAACTGGTCAGTCAACGTCAGGACCGCGGCATCGGCACGAGTGCCTACCTCTCTGGCCAGCGCCAAGGCTGGTTCTATGGAAACCAAGGATAACAAGGATTTCATCCGACCCAAACTGGTGACCATAATCCGCAGTGGGGTAAAGCCTCGGAAAGCCGTGCGTATCCTTCTCAACAAGAAGACGGCCCACTCGTTTGAGCAGGTTCTCACGGATATCACAGATGCCATCAAACTGGACTCTGGAGTGGTCAAGAGGCTTTATACGGTGGATGGTAAAATGGTAGGTACAGTGGGTGTTTCAAGTAGATAAGTGAACTTTTGTGTTGTTGGATGCAGTAATAATGATACTATTGTTTGGTTGAAAGTACTATTTGGATAGATCAGTGGACTCGCTATATAAGCAGTCTTTATTTGTCAGAAGCCCGTGGATCAGAGATGTTTGTGGTGCAGAAATTACACCCTTCATTTTTAAATAAAGCAAAGCGAAGTCTCCTGACTGTTACCTTAGTCAAACAAGATGTTTTTGAACGCCTTGGTTTTTCTAAAGGTGAGGCTGCTCATTCTCAAAGAGGTCAGTCTGTTCCTCACTCTTTCCCTCTTCAGTGCCCTGCTTTTTTGCTCAGTTATTTGGTGAAACCATATTTAGAGTTGCTAGAGCTGTACTTGTTTGTGTAATAAGTTGGTGGTAATGAGCCAAAAATGAGCTGTGCTGTAAATTAAACGCTGGGACTACTTTGAAACTTTACTTTCAAACAAACATAAAGTAGATGAGGTGCTCTCTGCTACAGAATGTAACAACAAAACATTTATTTAATGCTGTGATCCATTTCTATTTATGAAAGAGAATTTTGATCTGGTTTGAGTAGATAGTTTGGTATGCATGTATTAGGAATGCTTGTGGTTTTTATTCTGGTTCAGTGTTATACTATTATAGTATTAAGATTTAGAATGAGCTATACATTTATTTATATAGTAATTTTCTTATTTTGTAATACTTCTATTTAACTTAAATTTATTTTTATTAAATTTTTTTTACTCGTGTAAAACAACTCCTGTTTTTACCTTGTTTAACTTGAACTGAAACAGTTCTATTCACAGTCATCCGTTTCGGTGGATTTCTCCCCATCCCCATCCCTCTCTTCGTTTTTTTTAATTTTTTGTCTGTGTGTATCAAAACAAAACTAAACAAAACAAAGCAAAACATCAAAAACAAAACTAATCCACTGCATCATCAGTGGCTCTGATGTCAGGAGAAAATGAAGACTATGGTGGCCCAGTAGTGCACGACACAACAAAATCTCCACAATACAAAGAAATCACCACAACACAATGCACTGGACTAATTTCGTTGTGTTGTTCTAATTTTGCTGTGTTACGGCTTGTTTTCATTGTGTTGTGCTAATTTCGTTGTGTTTTTGCTTGTCTCTGTTGTGTTGTGCTAATTTCGATGTGTTGTGGCTTATTTCTGTTGTGTTGTGCACTACTGGGCCACCGTAGAAGACTCTTATGTTGACTTTTATATCCAACTACAAAACCTGCACTGCTTACAAAACATTGCTGTCACTACAGCTGCTTGAACGTGGAGAAAATGGCGAACAGCGTACAACTGACTGAGGGCAGAAATATGCTAATACAGGACAGTCTGTCAGTGGCAACAGGCGGGGCCTGAGAAGTATGAGGTCATACTGCTCAGAAAATCAAAATGTATTGATAATTGACACGTTTTTTTGGGGGACTAAAAAAGGAATGGATTTTTATCATTGTAGGGTGGTTGAGTCCACACAAGACACATTTAGCCTATACACGCAAGCCGTGTAAAAGGGAATTTAGCATCCAATGTCCCCTTTAAGGCCACCCTATTGTAATGATGTGAGTATTTTGCTCTTTGCTCATCAAGTGTTGCTGTTATTATCTTGCTGAGATATTAATTTCCCTAGATGATTTGTGTTTGTGTTGCTTGAATAAGAGCAAAAGAGATGGATAGGGAGATAAAGGTAAATACTGTGGTGAAGGAGATGGAGGAATGAGATCAGACAGAGGGAGGCAGCCGAATGGCTGGAGACTTGGTGATGGTGACCTTTCTGTGTCTCCGCAGGAACAGACTGATGAAGTGACAAGCTGTCACCAGAGGGTCTTAAACTCATTGGCCTTCAGTGGCATTATATTTTCCTCTGTTTACATTACACCCACCGCAGATCAGAAACGGAGACACTAGTGCTGTTCTCTGTCTATCTATCTATCTATCTATCTATCTATCTATCTATCTATCTATCTATCTATCTATCTATCTATCTATCTATCTATCTATCTATCTATCTATCTATCTATCTATCTATCTATCATATAATTGTATTATTTATATATTGGATTTAGCTGTCCAGCTTATTAGATTTTTAGATTTTATGTACTACAGATGATATATTATTTATATAGGCCAATAGAAATCATTTACTAAAACAGAAGTCACAATTTAAGGTTGAACACTGTGCAAATAGATATTTCTAGCTATGAATATCCCCCAATTTCTCACATCCCAAGTATTCGAAGGGCCTCTCCTTGATTTCCCTCTTTTTGGTTTCCATGGCAATCTGGTCGCTGAGGGTGGTTGCTTAGGAACAGCCTCTGCAGCAGGAGGGGTGCAGTAGCGGTGATGTTACAGGCCGGGCTTGGGATGATGGATGCTCAGGATTGCAATCAAACAGGCCTCTCACGCGAGGCGCCATTATGCATGGCTGGTTATTTTCTGTTAGAGAAACATTTACTGCACCCTTTAAAGCATTGCTGTAGCTCTCTGATGATGTGCTGAGGAAACTGATTTCTGGGTCGATGCATTGTGATCCTACATTTTTCAAAACTGCTTTATTAGGTTTGATAATGAACCTGTTTGATAATGTTTTTACACAGTCAAAATGTATGTTTATGAAAAGCTTATTAGTAGGGCTGTCAATTGATTAATGTAATTACATTTATTACATTATATGCTGATTAATTAAGCAAACTAATCCCATAATTCAATATTTGCTGAAAAGCTTTCAAATAAAGATGACTTTATTATTGTGGCAGTTGAATATGGCTTTAGAAGTCAACATGTATGTTTTATTTCTACATCATTCAGTAAATTCCATTTTAATGCAATCATTTGATTTATAGTGAGTCAGCACTTTGAAAAGTGCCTTTAGATATTTCTTGCAGCGGAAATTCAGAAGATTGGACCATCTAGGAACAGTTACTTTGAAATCTCTTAACAAGATGGACATTTTGCCTTCAATTTTGCTCTTATAAATGATACATGAAATTGCTTCCTGGCCCTATCTAACCCTCTATATTATATTATATATATTTTATATTGTTGTTTTATATTGAATATGTTATTATATTATATTATATTATATTATATTTATTAAATTATATTAGTCATGTCTAAGTATTTATTTGCCTGGCAAGTAGTTGTAATAAGCATGATAATGTTCAGTCAGACGGTCATTAATCACAGCTTGTCGCCTGGGTCCTAATCATACACCCTGCCGGGGTTTTATTTTGTGGTAATGAACGACTGACTGTACATTACCCCTTATATAGCTGACTTACTTTACTACTAATCTGCCAGCAATAAAGAAACATTCGTTTCTTTCATATTTGCACAGTGAAGTGATCTCTAGTTATAAGCATAATCCACCATTTTTTGAAGTCTTTTGTGGTGATGTGGCTTCTTCATGTAAGCTTATTCTTATCATGTGAGACAGCCTGAGGATAGACAGACAGGCATTTCCCCTCTAATATCTATCTATCTATCTATCTATCTATCTATCTATCTATCTATCTATCTATCTATCTATCTATCTATCTATCTATCTATCTATCTATCTATCTATCTATCTATCTATCTATCATATAATTGTATTATTTATATATTGGATTTAGCTGTCCAGCTTATTAGATTTTTGCATGGAATGTACTACAGATGATATATTATTTATATAGGCCAATAGAAATCATTTACTAAAACAGAAGTCACAATTTAAGGTTGAACACTGTGCAAATAGATATTTCTAGCTATGAATATCCCCCAATTTCTCACATCCCAAGTATTCGAAGGGCCTCTCCTTGATTTCCCTCTTTTTGGTTTCCATGGCAATCTGGTCGCTGAGGGTGGTTGCTTAGGAACAGCCTCTGCAGCAGGAGGGGTGCAGTAGCGGTGATGTTACAGGCCGGGCTTGGGATGATGGATGCTCAGGATTGCAATCAAACAGGCCTCTCACGCGAGGCGCCATTATGCATGGCTGGTTATTTTCTGTTAGAGAAACATTTACTGCACCCTTTAAAGCATTGCTGTAGCTCTCTGATGATGTGCTGAGGAAACTGATTTCTGGGTCGATGCATTGTGATCCTACATTTTTCAAAACTGCTTTATTAGGTTTGATAATGAACCTGTTTGATAATGTTTTTACACAGTCAAAATGTATGTTTATGAAAAGCTTATTAGTAGGGCTGTCAATTGATTAATGTAATTACATTTATTACATTATATGCTGATTAATTAAGCAAACTAATCCCATAATTCAATATTTGCTGAAAAGCTTTCAAATAAAGATGACTTTATTATTGTGGCAGTTGAATATGGCTTTAGAAGTCAACATGTATGTTTTATTTCTACATCATTCAGTAAATTCCATTTTAATGCAATCATTTGATTTATAGTGAGTCAGCACTTTGAAAAGTGCCTTTAGATATTTCTTGCAGCGGAAATTCAGAAGATTGGACCATCTAGGAACAGTTACTTTGAAATCTCTTAACAAGATGGACATTTTGCCTTCAATTTTGCTCTTATAAATGATACATGAAATTGCTTCCTGGCCCTATCTAACCCTCTATATTATATTATATATATTTTATATTGTTGTTTTATATTGAATATGTTATTATATTATATTATATTATATTATATTTATTAAATTATATTAGTCATGTCTAAGTATTTATTTGCCTGGCAAGTAGTTGTAATAAGCATGATAATGTTCAGTCAGACGGTCATTAATCACAGCTTGTCGCCTGGGTCCTAATCATACACCCTGCCGGGGTTTTATTTTGTGGTAATGAACGACTGACTGTACATTACCCCTTATATAGCTGACTTACTTTACTACTAATCTGCCAGCAATAAAGAAACATTCGTTTCTTTCATATTTGCACAGTGAAGTGATCTCTAGTTATAAGCATAATCCACCATTTTTTGAAGTCTTTTGTGGTGATGTGGCTTCTTCATGTAAGCTTATTCTTATC